ATATATATATTCGTTACATGACAACATTCAATTAGAATTATGTGGCAAACATTATACGAGTAACATATTAATTTGAAAATCGTTCCTTCTAAACAGGATTTTATATGACTATAGTCTAACAGATAGACGGACTAATAAATTGTGATATTCCCAAGGAATAAACACGAAAAAACGAGAATGAATGGAAAGAGAAATGGAGCTTTATTCGCCAACGCGGTCCATTATAATAATTCACAATGTCGCGCACATGTGATTTCGATCTCCTAAACTTCACATCACACTCTGTTCTGCAAGCCATAAATATTTAGCATTACGCAAAAATAAAAAATCATGATATTTTCCATTTACTCAATATCTGTAACAATCGAATAATACAGAAAAAATTGCAACTCATTTTTTTTTTTTTTTTTTTTTTTTTGTTCATAAAAGCATTATGTTCCGGCTTTCCATTGCAAGGCTCTTTTTCTCTCTTTCTCTCTCTGTTTCTTTTTCTTTTGTCTTCTTAGATCACTATATGAAAATTTTACTTCCATGTAAAATTACACGCTAATTGCTCACTAATAGAGATGTTTAACTTTGTAATAAGCCTCGAGTTATTTGATTTCATAATGTCGAGCAAATAAAAAGCAATATGAATTTAATGGAGCATTAAATTATGGTGGAAAAGATGTTAAAAAGCTTTTCCATGAGTAACTACTTTAAACTATAAACTCTGTTGTATAAGTCTATATATATTAAATATTAATAAAAAAACCAGCTTCTTATTACGTTATAAAAGAAGATATATATATTTGTGTGCTTTGCTAACAATTTGCCATATGGAATATCCATAGCAAATATCGACGATTTGCTCAAAATATTGATATTGCTATATTCTGAATAATGCGACGGAATCATTATCGATGATCCTTATTTCTAATTATTAAATTATTCATACGCAATCATGCATGTGATATCCGCATCTAATTACTCCGTTTCTAATCCGTATCAAATGCTAATTCATATGATTTTCTCATATGACTGTATTTAATATAGACACGATTTAACATCCTAATTTCTGTTACAGATTATCTATTATATCGAATTGTTTTTTTCAATAGCATAGAATAAACAATATTAATGCCACGATAATAGGCTTTTACGAAAATCGCGTAAAGCAAATATAATAATTCCATCAAAACAATAATATAATAAAAAAAAATGGATTTATTAATTATATCAAATAAATGAATAGCATGTTTTTGCTTTTAGTAATTTAATGTAAAGTTAAAGAAGGGATGAGAGAGAGAAAGATTCTGCACAAGTTAATCCATACAAAGGAAACAATCGCGCAAATTATGCGACAGAAAGAAGGCGCAAAGGCCAATCCCCTCCCTCCAAAAAAAAAAAAAAAAAAAAAAAAAAGTAAAAGAGAGAAAATTACAACAACGGGTTTAGGTGTAATCACGAAGAAGAATTATAGCTGAAAAAAAAAAGAAATCTCTCCTACCAAGGCAGCTTTACGGCTTAGCTATTTGATAACGATAAATGTCGGGTTAGTATAAAAGAACGCTACTTAGCACGGTATATCCGCGTGAGTGTAGTTGCTCATCCGTTTTCGACTTAAAAACTAACGAGCTTATGATGTGAGAACGTAATTGAGAAATGTATCGAAATAACGCCGCATAACGGGAAACAATAACTGACAACTTTTGTAGCTTATATTGCAGAAAAACAAGAATGTGTTATCTTTAATCGATTGCGCTCGCGTTATGAAAAATGCATAAACGTCTTTTTCGTCACATTTTATTACGAAATATTGTCCCACAATATACGTGTATACGTCTATACATAATACATAAGATGCACGAGCGTGTTCTTTTTTTTTATTTATTATATTTATAATGAAGGATTCGTTCTCGCATTTGTCTGCAACCAACTGAAAAACTAATATGAAAATAATCTTAATGCTAACTTGGTTCATAACAAACATTTTTCGTAAATAAATTCAGAAAAATAATATCATTTTGTTATTATATCAGAAAAAAATATTACGAAGGAATTGTGAGTATACATTGAGAGAATACTTTTAAAAAGTTCAACTATCTTTATATCGCATAACAGAAATATGGAATTCGTTTGATAGAGAGATATTAATATCCAGATACCCATCTCTCTAAGAAAATAGGCTAAGGTATCTACAATTATATTTCTACAATGCAAAATGACGCAAACGAAACAAAGATTTATTTGCGCTACAGTATAATAAACCGTAGAACAAGAAATTCGAAATAATTGAGAATTATTACAAATCGTTATGTCTTTTTTTTGTTTTCTTTTTAACGAGGGAGGATAAAAGAGGTAAAGAAGGCTCTGATATTCAATCCAAAAACGCTGGTGTGTTGTTTTATGACAAAAATTTCACCAATATCGGGCTGTCAGCACGCCAATATTTCGACCTTTTTAAATCTTCTCATTTCTATTCAAAGCACAATTACATCAAAAATCAAAACCGATATAAATACGCTAAAAAAGCAGATTTCTGAACGAGTAGAACAAATAATTTTTGGAAAAATTTGACGATTGACGAGAAAAGAAAGATATTAAATATGCAAATAGCAATAAGCATAGCTCGCTATGCCACTGATATAGTCAGTTATAAACACTTATACAGCATGCGTAATATCACTATACATATAAGCACACAATTATGATGTATACGATTGTGTCACATAATAAGACAATATCAAGATTTAACTATTTGACACAAAATTTTAGACAAAACAGTAGCTCGTATATACTCATCCTTTTCAATTTATGTTCGTTAAAATAACGCTCAATCATTCTAATTATATATGATCGTTAAGCACAGATTATAAAGTTCGGCAAAAAACATTTGTTTCAAAATACGCGAGAAATTTAACAATCGTGGGAAATAATACGATAGCGCGCGCAATACTGGGCGTCAAATTTACGCCATCGTAGTATTAATCACACAATTGTCGGATTTGAGAGTAAAACGTGATGATCAATATGCCTGCATTAAATCTCGCAGACATTACGCGACAGTAGCGACGCAGCCCTATTTAGGAAGTGCAGCGAGAAATGATTTTGATCTATTATTATATCTTTCATATTCTCTTAAATAGAATCAGTGTATTATCACAGATAAGCAGTAATTTCTGTTTTAAGTATAGCATTGCAAGCAATAAAATCTCACTGAGAAGAATCCGTTAATAGTAATAGCAAATCTTTTAATGAAATCTTGCTCTGCCATAATCAGTAAAATATAAGACGAAGGAGTAAAGTATGAATATTTTCACTGAGAATCAATGAGTATTTCACTGTTTCTGAAATCTTGTTTAATCTGTATTTTTTACTGATTCAGTGTAAAAAAATAAAGTCGCAATAGTTGGCGACATAATCGGGAAAAAACTCACATTATGACGTTATCCAGCCGATCAGAGTTTCATTATCACCTATTATATATGCGTAGTGATCATCCCTGCGCGTGAATTCTTGATAGAATTTATAATATTGTACTATATTCCTCTCCTCAAACAAGAAAAGGAAAAAAAAACACAAAACATTACGTTTTGTTACGTTATTTAGATTCCTCTATGTATGAGAATCAATCTTGCATGGTTCGCGATTACTGACATTATCGCTACACCGGAAATTAGGGATTTAAAGAATCGGAGATTAATTGAGTGGCAGATGCAGTTTCGTTTGCACGTAGAATACCCTAAAAAGCTTCCAGAATAATTCCGCAGTATTTTGCGCATTGAAAAAATGCTGAATTATTCCTGAAACGTGCTTGCACGCGAGCTATAGAAACTGGAAACGCGAAATTTTAAATAAATCGAAATAAAGAAAATATCTCGAGATATTTGATATTAAAAATGCTTCATCTATATTCCAGAAGGAATGTGTTTGCGAGAAACACTTTGTTCACTTGACCGATGAAATTTGAATACTACGTGAATGGCGAGTAAAACGATCGTTTCCACTCGTCTACAGATTCTTTAACTGAGCTCATGTTATATTCGCGCTATTATGTAATGTTTTGTAAAAAGTGTAACGAAATATACAGGATGTCCCACTAAAAGTGGCCACCCCCTTTTATCTTTTAAACTAAAAGAGATAGACCGTAACAAATATATATCAAATTAAATGGTTCAAACTGAACTCTATTGTGAGCATAATGGTTGCTTCCAAAAGCTATCTGTATTAACGGACAGATAGGTATGCATAATTTTTTTATAATAATGTGGGTATTTCGATATAATAAAAATTGTAGCGCTGTTTGAAACGAATACAACAATGTATGATATAATGCAAATATTTTACATATTGTACGAGTTTTATCGACTTAATAAAATATCGCGGACGTCTACCTTTTCATTTTCGGCCTTGTGATATGGAAAATTTCTGACTCGTGCAATAAAGATTGACATATGTCGTGTTATCATTTGATCATAATACTCAGTGAGAAATTGGCCATATCGCAGGGCCGAAAATGAAAAGGTAGACGTCGCCCGTGATATTTTATTAAGTTGATAAAACTCATATAATATATAAAATATTTACATTATATCATACATCATTGTATTCGATTCAATACAGCGCTACAACTTTTTTCATATCGAAATATTCACATTATTATACAAAAATTATGCATACCTCTCCGTTCGTTAACACAGATAATTTTTGGGAGCAACCACTATGCTCACAATAGAGTTCAATTTGAACCATTTAATTTGATATATATTTGTTACGGTCCATCTCTTTTAGTTTAAAAGATAAAAGGGAATGGCCCCTGTATAACAACATATACAAAATCCGTCGAAATATAATAACCGTAAATATGTACGAAGAATAAAGACATACAGAAAAGTTCGAAAAGATCTTTAGCCTGATAAATATTTAAGAGCTGCGAAAAATCCGTGTGTAGCCCCTCGCTAAACTTTCTTCTCTTCTATTCTCTCGAGATATCGCACTTATCTTTTTGGCGATCCCTCGCGTATGATTCCTAAGATTCTCAACTGTGGGATATTCTTCATACACACACACACTTCTAGACATTTTTATGCCAACCATACATTTGATTTATATTAAATTATTTCTTCATACTTTATTCGCATTATTTTGAAAAACCGGAATAGAGTATTCGCTACGGATAAATATTATTCTACCAATGCGAAAATTTTATCTCAGTATTATTTGTTACAAATGTGTTTCTATAACTTGGGAAAAATTCAAATAAATGTGACAGAGTCATAATTATTATGAAACATAAAGCTTTCTCAAACAATGATTTCAAATCCCCTACAGTACAAAACATTACCTCCAATTCGCAACGTCATAAATATAATGGTCGAGTACATAAATGAATTTGATAAATGTTCAGCAAAACACGCAAATGATTCGAGAATTCTCGGTTTCACGGACCCTCTAAATAATGGGGCATCTTCTAATGCCATGAGATTGGCATTTATGTGCGCAGCCAAATTCAATTCTCGCGCGTGCCGAAACAAGGGTTAGCATTATGATGTCCAACAGCGTCCTATAATAATGAAGGAAGGACCGCGCGCTTTGCATGTATAATATATACATAGGAACTTGAAGCCTCTCTCTTCAACCAAAGACAATTTAACTAATAATTTATCGCAACTCGTCAAACAATGAACATGCGAATGATCCATATTAATTAGAGAATAATTCATATTGATATCCCAGTAAAATTTAATACATGTTTTTTATTTTATAATAGATATTTTATTATTATTTTTTAAAAGATAATATAGTAGTAGAATATAAAAAACAGGTCTTTAGTATTGACTTCAGTATCTCTTTATTTTTTTTCAAAAATAACTGCTCCTTGACTCAAGTATTATATTAATATTTTTGAATCTTTTAATTGTGATTCTATATCAATATTGATCCCCCCCTCTCCATCGCGCTTAATTATTATATATTTTATAAAATATTTATTGATTATATAAAAAATTTTAAATTTAAATTTAATATTTTAATTTTCTATTCTTATTCGAGCATAATTATTTTTATTAGATTATTCTTTAATTATAATTTTTGACAATTTTTGATAATTTTTTTAGCATGTTTTCTTATATTTATATTTTGCTTAGAGAAATGTAAGAATTTTTCCAAATTTTTAATTCTAAATAAATTTCTGTCTCCTTGAATAATACTTTATAGAATTTCTAACTACATTAATGATCTTTTTATTCATTTAATCTTTCAAGAGAAAAAATGTCATTCATTCTAATATCTCTCATGTAATAATTATGGCATCTATCATTCAACTTTTTACTTTATCAATCCGTCTAACAGCAAATATAATTGCTGGACATTCATAAGATTATTCGCAGTGAAGAAAATGTGATTTTAGCAGTCAAGCAGTTGAGCAAATTCTACAATGATAGAATATAAAAATCGCTTTTTATGACATAAAAAGCATGAAAATTTTCACTCTTTTTTATCATAGACTCATTATCTTGAGAAATGTTAAAAAATGGATAAAATTACGGAAGAAGAGACGCCACATTCATGTGTAACTACGTTTTCCGTATGATGACGCAACTAATCGATAATGCCATGGGATTGAAAATCAGCGATCTCAACTCAGCACACGGATCGCATACGAAAAATGCACATAGAGAGAGTAGTCTAAGAGGAGCGAATCGATACACACACACATACACAAAGCACATACGTGCGCGCGCGCACACATGTGTGTGTGTGTGTATATATATATATGATTTCGTGGCACGAAGGGAACATTTTTCAACGAGCAATCGAAAGCCAGAAGCACGGAACGAATGGGGATTTTTATTACAAATATCCATTTGTTCGACAAAGTAACGGAGTTTTTCTACATCACTATCGGAATCTATCTGCGGAAGTCAATTGTGCGATTCATTTTATGATGCAGAGCAAAAGAATGCAACAAAAGAATCTCAATAATATAAATTCGAAATCTTATGTATTTTCCAATTGTTATAAAGCAATTTTTTAATATTATGTACCTATCAAAAAACGAATATCTCTATTGACAATACAAGATAACGATGACGAAGATGACGAAAATAACCAGTATTGTCGTATTACAATTTTATTAATGTAAATTTAAATTCGACAAAGATTGTTTAATATATTTAACATTTTCAATAACAAGAATTGTTATTGGATACCATTTCCACATACAAGCATAGAACAATAATTGTACTACTATGTGCTCATGTTTTTAAGCCAATGCGGCGATCTTTGTTACATATATATATTTTATCTCTATCATGATTTTTTGCAGAAAAAGATACAGTCTTTAAATATTCCATTTTAGCCTGTATTTTTCCATTAAGGTACATTTCCTTCCCGCTCTTTTATTCATTCTGCTCTATGTTCATTTCTCTTCCAAAAGATCTCAAAGTACTACGTGCGCTGTTCGATGAAGATTACGAACCAGCATTAGATACAATGCTTTATTGGAAACGTATTCAACAAAATGTATCTGTTTCTATTCTTCTGTGTTGCAGGCTTTTGAGGAACTCGAGGGTCTGTTAGGAAAACATAACATATGTATCGCCATCAAAGAAAAGTTGGTAAAGGATTCTGGGGTTGCCGAGGAGATCGCCTACGATAATATCATTTTAAAGTTGCTGACAAAACCACGAGCAAGAGGTAAGAGATAGCAACTTAATAAAACAAAAAGAAGTACTCATGTAGAAAAAGACATAAATAAAAATTATATTTTTTTAAACTCTCTTATGCCTAAACTCTCTTATGCCTAAACTCTCTTATGCCTAAACTCTCTTATGCCTAAACTCTCTTATGCCTAAACTCTCTTATGCCTAAACTCTCTTATGCCTAAACTCTCTTATGCCTAAACTCTCTTATGCCTAAACTCTCTTATGCCTAAACTCTCTTATGCCTAAACTCTCTTATGCCTAAACTCTCTTATGCCTAAACTCTCTTATGCCTAAACTCTCTTATGCCTAAACTCTCTTATGCCTAAACTCTCTTATGCCTAAACTCTCTTATGCCTAAACTCTCTTATGCCTAAACTCTCTTATGCCTAAACTCTCTTATGCCTAAACTCTCTTATGCCTAAACTCTCTTATGCCTAAACTCTCTTATGCCTAAACTCTCTTATGCCTAAACTCTCTTATGCCTAAACTCTCTTATGCCTAAACTCTCTTATGCCTAAACTCTCTTATGCCTAAACTCTCTTATGCCTAAACTCTCTTATGCCTAAACTCTCTTATGCCTAAACTCTCTTATGCCTAAACTCTCTTATGCCTAAACTCTCTTATGCCTAAACTCTCTAATGCCTTTAGAAGCATACACAATGTATGTATGCATGCATATTTGTATTTTATGTATTATTTATATATATATTTATAATGTGTAAAATCTTTCGTTTGATATGTGCCTAGAGAGTGTTATATCAACGTAATAAATTAATTAGTCTTTCTCTCTCTCTCTCTCTTTCTTTTTTCTCCTAAATTACAAATCTATGTATCCCTATAAGTAAACCGCATTGAAATCTTAATCAACGTTTCTCCGATAATACGTTTCTCGATGAAATAAATGTCATTAAAAAGGATTTAAATTATTACTAAGAGAAAAAGAGAGAGAAAGAGATTAGAAAGAGCCCTCGGATCGTGGCGATCTGTTCATTTGCGCCATTTCATTATTTTAATCAATATAAATTATTCCAAAATATAAACGAATCGCAAACGCAGGATTACGAAGTAATATTGTATCGATGGCGAACGCAACAAGGACTCCGAATTCCATTCGATTCGTTTCAGAGTAACGAAATAGGTTCATTAACGAAATGGAAACGCGACTTACTCCGCAAACAGCACTTTGTCCGAAACTTGTTGAAAATCTACATAACTCACTTAACTCTCTCATTTCTTCCTAAGATCTTCCTAAGCGAGCGTACGCTAAATCCCTGGCTTTATTTGCAGATCGGATGGATATCAAGTGCAGTTTAACTTGTATAGCTTTAATCGAATGTTCGCACACACGTTCCAGCAAATCATTAAAGAAACAACAAAGTATTTCGCGTAATGCAGAAATTAAACGATCTCTTCTAATATTTTCAATGATTTTGGCTTTAAAGAAAAATTGGTATATCGGTATTTGTATGGAATTTATTTAAATCATTGGGAGGAGGATGTCCTTAATTAAGATATTAATACTCTCATAAAGATTTTTAGGAAAAATAAAATAACATATGTAAAAATATGTAAAATTCCAAGTCAAATTACAATAAATATCAAACTTGTAATGAGTTTATTTAAATTATTTATTGCTTTATGTTATAAGAGTTAAGATAAGCTTTGCATGATTATATTAGAAATGTAATATATATTTCACATCAGTTTGTATAGTCGGTATACAAGCAGAAATGGCGTTTATAATTTATATTATACTTGTATCGTTCTCATAACTAACAGCGAAGCGTATTTACACGCACCGCTAAGAAAACATTTAAACATTTCGATGTAAATTCATGAGGAAATTCAAATACGACAGACACACAGGATATGGATGACAGAGAAACGAACAAATGTACGTTGCTATTTTCGCGGACGCAAAATGAGAAATGGTATAAAGCGAAAACGGCTGTAAGGTGCATAAAAATTATGACATTGCCAGATAACTCTCTCTTCATATATATTTCGTTCACATATATACAACAACAAAAAGTATAATTAATACTTTCTACACACGCTGAAATAAAAGCACACTTTGAAATGATCTTATTTCAGAGAAATAGAGATTAGCAATTCAGTCTGACGGACAAAGATGTTTCTACCTCAGGCGAATAAATATTTCATCCATTTAATCCATTCAATACGGTCCCGAACCTTGAAATCCCTTGGTGACTTTTCGAACCTTACATACTTGCGTAACTTTCTACCAACATTTTTGATAAATAACTCACATTTTCAACCAAACTCTTCTTCTAAAGAAAAACTAGTATTCAAAAATTAATCGTTTGACACATCTAATAAATAAAAAAGATATTGACATGTCTAACAAATTTTGCAAAAATATGCTTCCACAAAATACTAATAGATCAAAAGATATACGCAGAGAAAAAAATAAGAAAAAGTAATATGGCATTGCATAAACAGTAAAAATTTAATGCCTATTAATCAAATGCAAGTAATGATATCTTAAACTTAGTGTACACGAGATTTAAGTTAAATTAATATTCACAACATTTTTTCTTAAATGCATAATCCCATCTCTGAGAAAAACAGATACGATTTTAGCAAACAATACATCTGATTGTTTAAACGTATCTATTACACTTTTCGGTAAGAAAAAAAAAGCATTTCGCGATAAATATCTATTTTATGCAGAATTTCCTTCTAGACCTTTCTGTAACTAACTGTTCTCGGCTCCGTCAGGCTCGACCTTATGTTCTTTTTTACGCCCCCATCGATTCCTACCGGATCCTGTATAATCTTGATTCTCATAGGAATCGCCGTCCACGATGAGGAGCGAGACGTTTCATTGGCATTTTTTTCAATAAAAGCTTAATCTTTTTGCTTTCGAGAAAATGACTTTTTCCCGCGATAAAATAAAATCGAATGGCGAAAATTACCGCGATAATAGAGATAAGACGATAAAAGAGCACCGCATTTACGGACGAAATTTTCACGGAATTGTTCTAACTCCTGTATTGCCGTAGGTTGCATTATTTTCGGTTCCGATCAAGAAGTTGCCGGGGTCATGAGAGCGGTTAGACGATGCAACGCAACCGGCGCTTTTTCCTGGATCGGGAGTGATGGTTGGAGCGCAAGAGGATTAGTAAGTAACGGTAACGAGCCGGAAGTCGAGGGCACTCTATCGGTTCAACCTCAGGCAAACCCCGTTAAGGGTTTCGAAGAGTACTTCCTCAATTTGACCGTCGAGAACAATCGAAGGAATCCGTGGTTCGTCGGTAAGTGAACGGCCAGAGCATGCGACGGGAGCGAAACTTGGCGAACTCCAACTTTGCAATATGCATGCGAATATATGTTGTACACGCGCAAGTTTGCAGTTCTTATAAGTAAGAAGTCAGATTTTACTTTCTCTATACATACCGATAAAAACTTTTAACACGGTTTTACTAAATAGACTGACATTCGACGTGATCGTCGGTTGCCAAGTAAAACGATCGAAGCAATTTTATTAACAATGTATGTGTTGTATTTCTTTTTCTCAAGAAACAAAAGAGAAACAAAAAAGCATTATATACAATAATATTATTCTCGGTACATGTGATATTTAAAGATGCGTAAGCACATGTTTCGCTAAGTCGTTCCGGATCGATCATAATATATCAAATTATCACGTACTTACGCGTTAATTTTAGAATTTTGGGAAGATTATTTCAAATGCCGATATCCGAATGCATCCCGGACACCATATAATAAAAAATATACAAAAATTTGCACAACGGAAGAACGTCTCACCAAACAAAACACGGCTTTCGAGGACCAACTACAGTTTGTTTCCGATGCAGTAATGGCATTCGCTTACGCTTTTCGGTATAATTAAAATTTAATCATCGATATATCTGAAAATCTTCTCGAGAAAATTATGAAAAAAGCGCTATTCTTCCTTTTCCTAGAGATATGCACCATGACCTTTGCGATGGAAAGCAAGGATTATGCGACAAAATGAAACCGACCAAGGGAATAACGCTTCTACACTACCTGCGTAAGGTGGATTTCGAGGGTAAGCAAAACGGTTCCTTGAAGAGATTACGAGGTGCGAGTCTAGTCGAAATCGATTCTAGTCATTGAAAATTTATATTATAAAACAATAGGATGCCTAACACACTTTAAAATGCTTTCACGTATTAAATAAACTTAAACGTAATATATTTATTAAATAAAATTTTAA